TTGGAGGCCCGGGGGATGAAAGCGACCGAGCTGCATGGGGATCTTGGGAAGCTTGCTCGGTCGACCATCTTGAAAAAGTTGAGGAATGGGGACGTGAGGGTGCTGTTGACCAACGAGCTTTCAGCCAGGGGGTTGGATATTCCGGAATGCGATCTTGTGGTTAATCTGGAGTTGCCTACGGACCCGATTCATTACGCGCATCGGGCGGGACGAACGGGCCGTCTCGGGAGGAAGGGTAATGTGGTCACTATATGTGAGGAGCAGGAAGTGTTTGTCGTGAGGAAGATGCAGAAGCAGCTTGAGGTGGTTATCAAGCCTTGCCAGTTTGCGGAGGGAAATCTTGTCGTTGATGAGGAGGAATGAACGGCCTGTGTGCTAAATCGCCACTCGGTAACTTTCAGTTCTCCTCGTTTCGGTTTTTTGTTAAGAGTTCTTTTGAGATTCTCCGTAAACTAGTTCACAGTCTCTACTCTGATGTGTTGTGAGAATACATTTTAGACAAGTAGTAGCTCTTATGATTGCATTTCATGGATTTTCTGCTGGTACTGTATAAGATGTAATGAATGTATTATGGTTTCATTGCCTGTTTAAGTGACAATTCTTGAGTGACAGACAGGCCTATGTTCGCCTTTCTATATGATCTTGTCTATCCTATGAGCGGGTCAAACTAGGGCTGAGCATGGGACTCGGAGAATTCCGAACGGTCCGAAAACCGAACCGAAATCACTCCGAACCGAAAAATAACCGTTGACTATTTGACTTTCTCCGAACCGAACCGAATCGAACCGAAAAAATAATTGGTACGGTTCTGGAGATTTCACAAATATCCGTACCGAGAACTGAACCGAACCGTCCTGTACCGTACCGAACCGAAGAACCGAAATTAAGAACCGAATTATAAAAATAGATGTGGGATATTAATATATTTTATGTCAACTTTGATCCAATATAATTTGAAAAATTTTCAATTGGAAATAAAATATAGTTATAATAATTAAGTTTTATTTAAATTTCATGCTTATTAATACTGGAGATTTGTAATTGAATTTTCTTGATTTAAGAAAAATATATTTAAAATAGTATGAAAGGTTAAAAAAATATTTTTTTTAAATATTCAAACATTATTTAAATTTGTCGATACTAGTCTTATTTGATTTTATAACTAATATGGTATGGAAGGTAAAAAAATATTACTTTAATAAAAACTATATAATATTTTGTTTTAATTTTGAATTTTCAATGTAAGTTGCACAAATTTAGTCTTAACTAAAATGTAGAGTTATCTTTTCAATTAATTTAAAAATGAGATCTTTAGTATGATAAAGTATTCATGAATGTTGGGTTTAATATATATATATATATATATATATATATATATATATTTATATAAATTAAAATACAACTAGGTGATTCAAATTTTTCTTAAAAATAATTAGAAATCTCCGAATATCCGAACCGAACCGAACCGAGCCGAACCGTTCCGATATTCCCGAAAACCGAACCGAACCGAACCGAAAAATGAAAATATCCGAACCGAACCGAACCGATTTTTTGGTACGGTTCTGGAGATTGAATTTTACCAATCTCCGAACTTCAGTACGGTTCTGGAGATTTGTCAATCTTCCAAACGGTAAGACCCATGCTCACCCCTAGGTCAAACATGGTAATTGCTTTTAATGTCTGCACCCATGCCCCGGATTTAATTACGTGAGACGAAAGTCTTAGCATCAAAACCATTGTACCCGACCCGACCCATGTCCCAAAACTCAAAATGGAAAAATTAGTTTGGCCGATGTGGGACCTGGTGGCTAATCAGAATTCCATGCTCTTTCAAAAGAGGGTGCTAATAAAGGTTACATTTTGCACCTACCATTCCACTTTTTTGGACCTTCTTTCTTCCTTTTTGTTGGTAAATAAAGAGGCTGCTAAATAAAGATTTGATTGAAGAATTATTTTATTAATTAATACATAGTCATGGTATAATAAATTTTGCATGCTTGGATTTGAAACATAATATTTTTTTTTAAATAAAAAATATATATTGTGGTCATTCAATAACAGAAAATATTTTCACTCATTGATGTGTTCAATTAACCATGAAGGTATTGCCATGGATTCCCAAGAGTTTAATTTTGTTGCGAATTGCATGGTGAGAATGGCTACAAGGAGCCTGGGTGGATTCCAATCGTTCGATGAGGTTCGAGAATGGTTACAACACGATATTGTCGGGGTCTTGTACCCTCGACACGTACCGATTTCCAGTACTTAGGCATTAAACTCTCTCTTTGTACCAATTAAAAAAA